ATTGGCAGGTTAATGTTAATAGCTGCCCTCAGGTTAGCCCAGAAAAGGGCACGCTTACTCCTCTCCTTTGGCCACTCCAGGTAGGTTCGCTTTGCCATAAGAGCCTTCAGCTTGTGATACCTGGCAGGGATTATGCACGGAGGGATTGGCTCCAGTAGAATGAGGATTAAGCTGTTGGAATTCTCGCTGAACAGTTTGTGATGGGCAAAGTACAGCTCATAGTGACACCACTCGCTCTGCACGAAGTTGGGAGACAGCACAAAGATCGACTTGTAGCTCTTCTCAATGCAGTTAATGATGTTCTCCACAATGCTCTTGCCAGGGATAAAGTTTCTCTCGTGCTGGCACAGCTGTACACAGCCCTCGCCCTTCTCCAGGTTCGGGATCAGCTCGTCCTTCACCCACAGCGCGTCGCGCTCGCTGTACGAAATGAAGGCGTGAAACTGCAGAACGGTCTCCTGCTCTGCGGGGTGGTTGTGCCAAGCTCTGCGCTTCGTCTGCGTCCACTGCCACGTCATCCGCACGTACCACGGCACATCCAGGTAGATGCACAGAAAGGCCACGACAGCCACCAGCACCAGCGTCAGCAGCAGAGCTGTCACAAGCAGGAGCGCTGTGTTGCAAGCCAGCTCGCTCAGGTGGAAGTCCTTCAGCTGCGTCCCTCGCAAGTCCTCTGGGTACTCGCACACGTACGCCGCCGGCCAGCCGAACAGCCTCCCCCCAGACTGCCTCTCCCCGCGGATAAAGTCTCGCAGTTCACACGAGCACTTGAACGGGTTCTGCCCGGCTTGGAGCTCCCTGACCCTTGGGCAGCTCTGGAAGAAGGCAGCAGACGGGGTGAGGATCAAATTCACCTCTACGTTCAGGAACTCCAGGGACGTAAAGGCGCCGCACCCCGGCAGGTCAGCCAGACGGTTCGATGCCAAGTTCAGCTCTTTCAAGGCTTTCAGCTCGGCCATACCCTTGGGGACACTGTTGATCTGATTGATTTGCAGGTCCAGTTTTTGGACGTTGACTGGCAAGCACTCAAACACGGCATCCGTCAACTGATTTGAGGACAGGTCCAGCTCTGTCAGAGACTCAGCCCATTGGCATTGTACGTCAGCTCCCTCATGACGCAGCAAGTTGCTGCTCATGTCCAGATACTTCAGTGATTTCATACGGCTGGTCATGAAGCTGACCTTGGGAAGGCTCTCAAATTT